ATAATTATATAAGTACATGCAAAAAATTGTTATATAATCATTATATTTTAATCCTTAAAGAGCAATATTATAAACTAATAACTAATTAAATACATACCTACAAAAAGAATTTACCTATCAAAAATTTTCTTCCTAAATTTCAAGCCAAAACAAATTAGGTAACATATAAAAAAAATACATAATAATTCACCGAATCTTCTGAAATTTCATTCAATTCAGAACTCATGTTTACCTAACACGAACATGCATTTTAGAATTTATATATCAAATTTAAAGAACATACCTTATAAGAAAATTTCTCCTAAAATTCAAACGTTACAAATTAAGTAATTTCTAAATAAATATACATAATAATTCACCAAATTTCTGAAAATTACATGCAATTACGATTTAACAGTCAGAATTTACCTAACATATACATATATTCCTGAAAATTACCTGCAATCATAATTTATCAATCAGAATTCACCTAACACAAACATACATTTCATATTTATGTATCAGAATTTAAAGAATTTACCTATTAGAAAATTTTCTCCTAACATTCAATCCATACCATATTAGGTAATTTTTTTTTTTAAAAAAAAAATATATTAATTCACCAAATCTTTCGAAATTAAATGCATACTAGAATTACTTACAATAATTTAATTATCAGAATATCTTCTCTCAAAACTCATTTATGAAATATTTGCATTGTATTTTTTATTCGTACTCAAATGATTTGATTAAATTAATTTAGAATAAAAAAATTGGTTTAAAGACTAAAAGAAAATAAATAATTAATACACAATATTGAAAATATGTGAAGTACGTTCTTATAATAAAATTATAATATTATTGTGTGTGTGTTATTTTGTTGCATCCCATGAATTAATTGCAAATTACCTCCTTTTATTTATTTCTTCATATGTCTCTATACAGTTTTGCTATGAAGCCAACAGTTGGCTCCCCATAGTAGAGCCGACCTTCTATATACAATAAGTAAACCTACCATATTCTCTGATTACTTAAATAACATTAATATAATTTTATTAATATGGTATGTTTATCTGTTGTATATAGAAGATTGGCTCCACTATGGAACCCACTGTTGACTTCATAGCAAAACCGTGTCTCTATATATAATAGTTTATAACCCGTGCATTTGCACGAAAAGTAATACGATAGAAAAAATAACAAAAAAATGTAATCATTGGAAAAAATATGTTTTAAAAAAGAAAAACTAAATATTATTAAACATTTCATTATATACAACGTTTGTGGTTTTCCTGTCACCAGAATCCCCATCACCACCAATCATTATCATAACATTTATTTATTGTTTTTTCGATTTTCCTTAAATTGCAATGTACTCAAATTTTTTACTAGTTATTCATTTTATATTTGCATGATTAATGAATAAACAAACCACTATATAAA